TGGGATCCAAATGACCATCCTATGGAACCTGCTGGGATCCAAATGACCATTCTATAGAACCTGGTGGGATCCAAGTGACCAATTAATAGAACCTGGTGGGACTCAAGTGACCTCTCACTGGAACCTGGTGGGACCCAAGCGAGCAGTTAATGGATCCTGATGGGACCATGCAATGGACCCATGCTCTGACCCTGGAAAGCCACAGGACACCTGGAGAGGCTGTGCCTTCTGTCCTTCAGAAAACACGGCCAAAACCCATTCCCAGAGCTCAGCCAGGCTGGAGAACATCCCTGGCCACGTCCACGTGCCCTCACCCTGCGATTCCCAGGAGCGTGGCTCCAAGGTCCTGCCCCCACCGTCACCGTGACCTTCAGCTCAGCGCATCCAACTGGCTCCTTGAACCGGAGCGTGGGGAGAACGGGAAATGTCTACGGGCTGGTGGAAAAGGGCAGGAGGGGGTGGGCTGTGAAACAGGAGACAGTTCAAGTCTGCCACTTAATCCCGGTGCCATTCCGACGGGAGGGGCAGCGGGAGAGCCCGGCCCGGCCGCGGCGCCGGCCCCGGGGACGGGGACAGGGTGCCAGGGGCATGGCAGGGACTGGGTTCCAGGCTGGAAAAACCTGGAATTGGCTGAGAAAAGGAGAAAATGCGTCATTTGCCACGAGGTTGGGAGAGGTGAAACTCCCAGGATGGAGTTCGTGGGGGGAAAATCTTGGAATGGAGTTCATGGGGGGAAAATCCTGGGATGGGACCAGGGAAAAACGCCCAGGATGGAGTTCATGGGGTGAAAATCCTGGGATGGAATTCATGGGCAAAAATTCCTGGGATGGAGCCAGGGAAAAGCTCCCAGGATGGAATTAATGGGGAGAAACTTCCGGGATCACGTTCATGGGTGGAAAATCTTGGGATGGAGTTCATGAGGGGAAAATCCTGGGATGGAGTCCATGGGGGGAAATTCCCATGATGGAGTTCATGGGGAGAAACTCCTGGGATGGAGCCAGGGAAAAACTCCAGGGATGGAACTCATGGGGTGAAAATCCCAGGATGGAGTTCATGAGGGAAAATCTTGGGATGGAGTTCATGGGGAAAATCTTGGGATGGAGTTCATGGGGGAAAACTTCTGGTATGGAGTCCATGGGGGGAAAATCTTGGGATGGAGTTCATGGGGGGAAAATCCTGGGATGGAGCCAGGGAAAAACTCCCAGGATGGAGTTCATGGGCAAAAATTCCTGGGATGGAGCCAGGGAAAACCCCCCGGGATGAAATTCATGGGGAAAAACTCCTGGGATGGAATTCATGGGGAAAAACTTCTGGGATGGAGTTCATGGGGGGAAAATCCTGGGATGGAGTTCATGGGAGAAACTCCTGGGATGGAATTCATGGGGAAAAACTTCTGGGATGGAGTTCATGGGGGGAAAATCCTGGGATGGAGTTCAGGAGGGGAAAATCCCAGGATAGAATTCACGGGGAAAACTCCACGGATGGAATTCACAGGGGGAAAGAAGAGCAGAAAACCTGGAGCAAACAATGGATGTAATTTTGTGGTTCAATAATTGAAAATAAATGGATGAGATGAGGCCTTTTCCCATCAAATCCAGACCCTGTGGATACTCCAGGTTCAGGATTGCTCAAGGCTCCCTCTCACAGGTGTTTAAAGCCAATTTTTTTGGGGGGGGAATTAAATCAAAAGTTCATTAAGATGAAAAATAAATGAAATAACTAAACCCTGCTTAATCACCAGGACAAAAGAATTCCCATTTTTCCAGCCTCAGCTTTAGCCTTTGAGGCTGAGCAAAATAAGCTGCTTACATTAAACCAGAGGCGTCTTTTGTTCAGGCAGTTATTTAACATAAAACTTCATTTTTTGGGGGGAATTTCATCAGAAAAACA